AAATTCAAACCTCAAGCAATAATAACAACGTGAAAATGAATATTCTTTGTGAAAAGTTATATATTCACATTCCACAAATATTCGTAAGCAGGTACCAGGTACCTATTCAGAATAGTCTACAATATATAATGTTTCTTTACCATTAAAATATATTATCTTCTAATATCTCATTAATGGCGTTTGCTGCTGATGTCAATAAGAAAAAGTCTACATGACTACATATCTAATTTGTATAAACTTGAGCTTATACTTAAAAAAATAATAATCACTCACAGACTTCAAAACAAAATTCAAATCTATAWACATTTAAGAAAATCAATAGAGTGAGCAAAACATGTAAAATGTTCAGAATTTTACTTTGTATTAATAAATCAGAGCTGTGCTCTGACATTGGCTTATGATAGAATTGGGGGCGAATATTTTTCAAGGTTGGTTGAGATTGGTTCATATATACGCTGCATTTCAAGTTTCAACTTTWATTTAMTATTATATATTTTTCACGACGCAAATTATGAAGTTAACTACGTACAAACAACACAATAAATTCTCGTCAGACTTGTGCTGTACCTATTATTCATTATTGAGTTATATRTTATTAATTATTTCATTTCATTAATATATAATACGGCCTGTGAGATTCTAAGTTCTAACTAACAATTAATATATTAAATTTAACGCATTGTTCGAGGGGATTTTTTTACGTTTCCCTGAATTCCGCGAAAACGCACAAATGTATTATATCATTACGGCGCACTACGATTCCTAATTGGAAACAATTTTCATCATTATTCCAATCACTACCTTTGTAATACCTATATACAAAACTTTGATTATAATAAACATAACAATTACCTACGTAGGTATCGCCGAAAGTTATTGGAGCTTTTGTAGGTTATGAGGTATTTACAGGCTATACAAGTCAGATTTTTAATCAAATTGAAGAAAACATATAAATTACAATAAAGAAGCCATGAGATGCCTATAATGTAATTTGTAAATATATGTAAATAAAAACTTTAAATAGTGAATAGGTGCATTATGCTATTGTCACGAACTCATAAAAATTAATTTAACCTCTCCCCGTTCAATTAAATTATATTATAAATTAATTTATTCATAAGTGCTTATAAGAACTTATAGGTACCTACGTTAATTTCAGCGAATATTGGTAATTATAGTAAATACCTTATGTAGTTAGGCATCTGTAAGTATACGTTAAGGGACTTAAAATTATAACTTATATTAATAATAGTATTGGTTAAATCAGTGGTTCTCAAGTTTTTTTTTGTTCACGACACACTATTATAGTATTATACATCACAAGTTTTCGCGGCGCACTCGACACAAATGTAATGAAATAAAGTTCCGCTTTAAATATTTTATTGCCAACATGATTACAATTTACAAATATCAGACATTTCTCGCGGCACACCTAGTCGATCTTGCGGCACACCGGTTGAGAATTACTGGGTTAAATAATGTTTTTTTTTTTAATAATGAGATTGAAAGTGAAACCAATTTTAAATAAAATATATGTAGATACAAGGGTCTTTAGGCCTCGAGGGMATATACAAAGGTTAGAAGAACTAAATGTAGGAGTTAGATTCACGTGCAGAGTAGGCATTTTTCTTTTTGAGAAAACCTTAAAAAAATATAATTATTTCTTCATAAAATATAAAAGTTAATTTATATACACATTTAATATAGGTACCTAGTACAACTGCGCCTATAAAAATAATCTATATATTCTATAATAAGTAWACCTACAAATATATATTATAGAAATATAGACAATCAGTGAAGTTGAAAGGGAATAAAATTGTGAAGGGGATATTAAGTATAAAATATAAATTAAACTAAGTCTTATTATAGGTACAAATAAATAATATATATAAATTTTTAATTTATTTGGGGAAAATGTCAATGGTGTTAGGATAGAGCACAAAACACCCCTAGCTACGCCATTTTAGACAATTCATTGTGTGGCCAATCATTCGAGTATCACCACAATWTGTCTTCATWGAGGGGCCAGTGAGGATTCACCAAACTTACTCAATCCCATTTTTTCTTTTGAAATTATAAAATATCCTTATAAAAACCATATTTTTAAAATATTGAGATTTATACAACTTATAGGAGTGTACTTTGGTGACATAGACTTCTGCTGTTATTCAAATGAGAATTCACTTTGATAACTGTAAAGTATTATTTAGCGACTAATTGTTCTTATCATGTCGACGTACATCAAATTAAAAATTTGATCTAGTAATTTTTGAGTTATCAACTAACCATTGGCGCAACTAGGGGGAGGGGGTGCTTTGGTCCTTTAGCAAACTAAATTTTTTTTTTTAAAGGTAGATCCCATTAAGTCACAAAAAAACGGAAGCTTAAGAACCCCCTGGTTCAATCGATGCAACTATAACTATAGGTAATATACTAAAATTTATTTGTACGAAAAATACTTATCACTTTATCAGTCATCATTATGCATAGCCATCTAGGTTCTAGGACCATAGTTTATTTAGTATTTACACATATGCCTACGCATTTTATATCATCGATTTTGATTCATATATATTATCTTTATAGTCTTATAGATATTGGAATTAGGAAGTGTTCATTATTTTCTCAAAAATTAATTTGATCGTTTCCGTCAAATATTGGCAATCAATAAGTACCTGTATATAGTTATATTGTTTTAAAAAAATCCATTCAAGTAATATTTTTAGTTTTATACTATTATATTTATTGTTGTTATCGCAGTTAACGTGATTTCTGTTTTGAATATCTTATCCTTTTTGGTTTTGGGATAGATTGTTTAATTTAGAAGTGTTCATATGTGTACATAGCTACACATAATATGTAGGGTATTAGGGTATAGCAAATATWACCTAACTCTTAACCTACAATAGTTATCGCATGATAGACGATAGTTTGATAGTTCGAACACATGAAATTAAAGAGTTTAAAAATATATTAGTATCTACCTAGATCTTATTGTTTATAGAATTGTTTGTAGAGATAATGTGCATGGAATGATTCACAATTTATTATTTGTTCTGCATAAACGATAATAATTATTGTGTGATTGTGAAAACGTGACTACTATATTTTCGAAAGTATAATTTTCAGTATAGGTACGTACAGCAAAACAATATCAATATTTAACCTGAATGGTCACTAATTAGCTAGTATCTAGACTGGTTCTCAAAAACTTAATATCAAAACATAATTTTGCAAAAGAAAAAAATGACTTAGTGAAAATAAAAATCGAACCTTTTTTCATTTTGGCGGGAACGATGCATGCCCTATGCCCTATTGACTGACAATACCTCGCCCATCAYAAGAATTTTTTCAGTAAAACGCAGTTCTTATTTTTGTCAGACAAATTAAATTTAAATAAAACAATGAAAATAAATAGGTATTAGGTACATATTTTTAATTTGTAAATAATAAAATAAAATCGTTTTAACACAATCCGGATTATTCAAGAGTGTTTCAAATTTTGTATTTGTAAGTASCTTTATTATAGGTAGGTATACTAACTATTAATGACGTCATTAATTATAAATTCAGTGTCAAAAATTAAATCTACTAGGAACCTATATTATTATTCAGTTAGTTAAATTATAATGTGACAAATTTATGAGATGTTTGAAACAAAAACCTGAACACCTATATTCTATATTTTGTTATTTTTGCTGTCGTTGAAAATAAAATTGCTATTATATATAGGTAGGTATACATATATAAGTRTAAGTTAAAACTAAAACTGGTAGATAACTGAACATTATAATATTTAAATAATATTACCTGTTGACTTTTATACTTTTAACATTGGTACCTATTAACTTATAAATAGGTACTGACTATTAATTTTTTAACGAGATTTATTTGTAAAAAAAAATTTTAATTCTATTTGCTTAAATACACCTATTATACTTGATTCATTATAATGTTTTATAAATAGTAAATGTAGTTTATACAAAACCTCAAAGGTACAAATATTAATTCACACAATATACACCATATAGGTACYSACGTAGTCACGTCGTACTACAAACTTAAACAATATATATGTTCAGTATAGTTATGTTATATTCTCTTTGTCCTTATATACAATTAAGATGACAATCGACGATAGAAAATAAATTTAAGGTTATATCCATAAATGAAGCATAGCAGGTGACTGCCGAATKCCGAGTCTGACAGGTGTGTAATATTATACGCATTCTATAGTTACTAGATGTACTGAAGATTATTTTTCTCGTAGATTRAGCGAATCAATATTTTATGAGAGCATAATATGATTAAATAACTAATAAAATAATTAACATGTTCCCAGAAAAAGTTAGCAATAATCAATATAAGCAACATTATAACACAATATACATATACTGCAAGCTTATAATAGGTGGCAGAAGTAGTTGCGGACCGTAATTACCCTAGTTTTTATTGAACATATAGACAAATTATTGTAGCATCCATATATTTTAATATCTCACTACGAATTATTATTGTTTGTTCTTAATCTTTTTTCACGTGTTTATAAATTTAAAAATAATGAATCCACCACCAATAATAATAATGCGAGTACATCATATTATTGTTGTAATGTTATCGTCATTGCATACGTGCAAAGGCGCAAGCAGCTGCAATGTTCGATTATTTTCCCCATTTATATACACAGTGCTCGTTATTATACAATAACCGTCGTCGTCATCGTCGTCCGCGGCATTCAACTATCAAGGAGGCAGCTGTTTCGTTTCCGTCTCTCGTCCACCAAACGGTTTTAGTCTAGTTCCTGTATCGGTACCAAACCGTCAACCGCTACTATACGCTCGTGAACCGTACACACACCTAATTATAGTGAATATCAGCGAACACRATAATTTTTTTGCGATATTTTATCGAAATGGGTACCAAATTTTAAACATTTTTTTTTTCGTGCCTTATTGTTATAATAATATAATAAAATTAAAAGGCCATTTACCACACATAATATATCGCGAATTTAGAAGTAGGTATATATTATTGTACCTATGATTGAATTGCATACGGCGTGTATATAGACGATATCATATTATACCTTTTCAGATATACATCACGATTTGTGCCGAGATGAATTTACTATATTCATAAACTTCAACAATAAATTATATTGAGTGGCAAAAACATTTTTACTGGTAAGTACAATCGTTTTATGAAAGCATAATAGAAATCTACATATATATATATATATATATATATTATATAGGTATATTATTTATTATATTATGGTTATATTTATAAAAATAATAATTTTGTGTAATTATTGTAAGTGAATGAAAAACTCTATCGAACATAATAATTCGACATGTAACCTGCGATATAATATTGTACCAAAATTTAGTAATTTTTATGGCCGATTGGTTGTATGGCATAGCATTTTAAATAACAATATAAAATAAAAATACAAATACGACTAAAATAAATTTTAAAAAAATACCTATAATACACATTCAATATCCACAATAAAATAAGTAGGTACCTATGTATAATACAAAAATCATAATACAATTGTGTAAATGTATAAATATGCAATGATATAATTGCATAAACGAAGTACCGTTGATTTGCACGATATCCATGCTCAACAACATTGCAATCACTGAAGCTTAAGCATTCCTATATTTTAATAAAACACAACATTTATCTTTATATTTATTTGGTATTATATAGATACCAATAATTATATTATATTATTACCTATTATCTATTCGTTATTATATTTATTAAACATCATTTTTAATTTTTTAAACAAATATAAACAACAAGAATCCTTCTCGATGATCTCAATTTAAAGAAATAAATTTGAAATTACCTAAATTATTTTATATTATAATACATTGGTGTAGTTGGCGTGTAATACTTATTATAAAAACGACATAATACAAAAATAATAATATAAAATACAAAACAATATTGTGAGACACTAGACTCTTAGTACTTAAATAAAATACCTAGTAAAGTAAGTATTCAATAATTCAAGAAAAACGAAGAAAAAACTTGTTACTATTTTTAACGTTGTTGTATTATACATATTATGTATGACTAGACTACTATTATATATATATATTACTTATACTGTACTGTGGAACGCAAATGTTAATAAACAAAATATGCATCAATTGCGAAGCATTGACCTGAATCTACTGATCGTAAAAAGTATAAAATAACGATAATTATAATAAAACAGCAATAATTTACATTAAATAATTATAGGAGGCAAAAAACTGTAATTTAAAAACACGATTCTCATAATAATGCATATAGGTTATTATAGCGGGTAGGTAGGTATATATTTTTAAACAAATATTATTGGCTACTTAATAATATTGTATAAGTTATTTGAATATTATTATTTATTAATTTCAATGACGCTAAATGAAGTAGACCTTGAAAGAATACCCGGTGATGTCAATTAAAAACAATATGCAATTATGATACATGTATCTATAATGTATATGCATACTTTGAAAACGTCATATTACTACTAATTATTAGTGAATAGCGCATAATGTATAGGAATGTAAGTAGTTTCCAACAAGTGAATATTATCTCACGATTGTCTCTAATAAAAGAAGATTATGGAACTTCGTTTGGAAATGATTTTGTATAATTAGTAATTACACATTTAAAAATTCTCGATAAATTTAATGGGATCAAAATATTAACATTATTAATTATTGCAAATCAAGTTCAAATGAATAGTACGCAATGTAGTCATTAGTCAATACAATTAATATAGGTAAATGGTATTTGGCAATTTGACATTAGTCTATAATATAAGCTATTATAATGTGGTAATTATCATAGGTTGGGGTACTAAGTACCTAAATCGGGCTACATAGCATATTATACCATCAAACAAATTGTATTTATGTATATAAATCAGTATAATAAATATATATTTTATCTTATTTGATTGTTGACTTGTTGTACACTTGTACATTAAACTCAAACTTAATAATTTGATATCGTATCAGATCAATAATTTTATAGTGTGTTTACATCAGTAGGTACTAATAGTACCCATACCTATCCACCCCTGATTAGGTTTATCTAAAATAACCAATTTAATACGCGTTTAACATAATGTATCATATTATAGTATATTAAATATTTAAATAATAAGAATTACATGAGTAATAATATATACGAAACTAACATTTTAAAGGAAATCAATAACAAATGATTTTTAATAATTATATATCAGTCAATCAATCAATGTGTGTAATATATATTATAATTATTTCTAAATTCCAGGTCATCGTGATAAAGGCATTACAGAAATTTTATCGTTTAAACGTTTTTCGTCATACGTGGGTGAGTTAAATAAATAAATAAATACAAATATTTTAATATAATATTCACTAATTTACCGATTGTGTGTATTGAATTAAGGAATGACGGAAGGATTTAAATCAAAGGAAATTATTTTACAAGCTCAGAAAAAATTCTTGGGCAAAGTAACCAATAAAAATGTTATAAAATTATTTATACACGACCGCAATGCTAATATTTTGGATAATGTGTATCGTCTAGCGAAAGTTTACGTAAGCTTATAAACATAATAAATCTTAATTATTAATATATATATTATTATATTATATTTTTTAAAACGTTTTACCTTCAAATGTATTTTTACAACAAACAGAAGCTTACATATAAAGCACAAAATATGTTGTATAAATAGGTAGGTACAAAACGCAAAATAATTGCTAATAATGTTGAAAAAATGTGTATTTTAGATTAATAGAACTATATTCTTCAATATTATTATTATACTMAAATGGTGTATACTTTATAAAATTTGACTGTCTAATATTTGAGTATATTAAATAAATCCATTTTAATAGTTTATTTTTAGCACAGATGAGTGGCTTATATTTCAATTTATATTCATGTTATTTTTCTTCATCATAGTCAATTCTAATTTAAATGTTTTACTTTTAAATTTACCACATTATAAAAATAATATGAATGGGTATGTAATTTATATTTCAATTTTTTTATTCAAGTATATACTATATATTTTTTTTACGGCATAACAGTATATGGTCTGCCTCTACTTTCTATAAAATAACAAATAATAATACACAATTTATTCGAATTTTGTACGATTTAGWCATACTTTTAGACTGAACATTTAAATGTGAAAATACTTATAACTACCTTGGTATACCCACATGGCAACATGTTTCCCAAATTTAAAATCGTTGCCATTTAGGTCAATAAGTTGAAAAAAATATACAAGTTAAATTACGTAATTATAGGCATAGATACTGTAAAATAAAAACATAATAATAAATTTATCATATGTATTAGTCGAGAATATAAATACATGAAATATAGCTTTAAAATTTACCCGTTCTTGGAATAACTTAAAAATGTTGATCACATTTATTATAAATAAAATGAAATTCGTTATTCTTACAATGAGTTCGTATAAAATTTATCAATTTTCAATATCGTACCATTCATACATAAACTGTTTAATAAAATAATAGTTAACTAATGGCCATGTAGCTGCCGAGTTTTTATTTAATCAATAAAAAAAAAATAATAATAATAGTATATTGGTGAAAAATGCAAAGCATCAGAAACAATACAATTATAGAATACTCCTATATAACCCATGTGGTATACCTAACTGTAGTCTATAAATACTTCCAATTCGTTGTGTGGATAATTTTCGACAACTATAATTCATCTTACATGGTTTTTATATTTTTCAGACGGGAAATAAGAAAGAATCCGAGAAGTTGACGAAAAATATAATCAAAATTATCGTCAAATTAAGTATTTTGTATAGAAATGATCAATTTGACAGTAATGAATTAGAATTAGCAAATAATTTTAAAGATAAATTTAGAGAGTTAACTATGATTGCAGTAAGTTTTTATGAAATAGAATTCAGTTATGATAAAAATTATTTAACTAATTATTTATTCAAGTGTAGAGAAATACTAAAAGAACTAATCAAAAGACATCTCACAGATAAAACACTGTCCAGAGTAGACAAAATTTTTGATTTTTTTTCAAATTCCGTATTTTTAGATTCGGTTTTTATTAATCCTGCAATCTCCGATTTAACCGAAATTGTACACATTTTAATTAACGACTTAAAAGAATTATTGGATAAAGACTTATAGTATGTATAATATTATAACATACTGCTTATAATGTATAAAAAAATATTTTGATATTGATTTTGTATAATATATATATATATTGAATGCGATATAGCTAGGACTCTACTRAACACCTCATACTCTATGCTTTGTATAATCTTCTCTATAATCTATATAGGTATTTCAATGGTTAAATGTTTGTACTTATTCCTAATAATTATACTATTTATTTCTTTGAACCTGACGCCCTTACAATATTGTCTAAGAAAAATGTTAAAACAATTTTTGATATAGTAACGACGAGTACTATCAAGAACTAAATAAATAGGTAACTATATATATGCTAGCATAATATATACATTTTTTTATTAATTTAATTGTGTCAATACACCTATAAGTACCTATATAGTAWTTTTACAATGTTTTATAATATTTTTAAAACATAAGTATCGATCATATGGAAAATACAATATTATTGACGGTTAGTATGAATCATGCAATTAAACTCATACGTCTTTAAGTTACTTATCTAATTTAACTTTTATTCTCATTATGTATATTTTTTTCACCATTTAAATTTCTCAAATRGTTCCTATTTACGAGAAACGTAATATCTAATAACTACTATTGTATACTTTGAATTATAGGAACCTACTGTATTTTATATTGATGGTAAATTAAATGTACCTATATACGTCTACTTCATTGTTAATAAATGTATAAAACAGTATTTACACATAAATATTGTATTTATTTTCATCGACAATTACTATTATATTTATTTGAATTTAAATAAAAATCACAAAAAGGTAATTGGACTATTCAATCAGGTACGTATTTATTAAATAATATGTAAATTCCAATAAATATTGCACGGTCACATTCAGCTAAAGTAATTAATTAGGTAATTTTTGGATTATTCCCAAAATTGTTTAAAGTTTTTCATTCATTGTGATTCGCTCAAAATTAATTTGCTTCGACGAGTCGACGAGAAGAATAAAGACACGCTAATTGGAGCATTCTGGGTTGTTGCAAGTTCCAGTCACCAATCTGCACCATCCCCGAAGCTTTTTAGATTGTTGAACATTTCTGTATGAGGATTATCTTTAGCGACAAGCCAAATTTCGAGCGGAAAATTCAATCTTTATAAATCTAATACAGTAATAACTTGATATGGTTATAAAAAACTAGTATCGCCGCTGCATTTCATACTATCTCTTCCGATATTTTGTAGATGGTGTGAGATGAACTAGAACGTGTCACGTGTGTACATCAAGGTGAGTTTTAGGGGTTTACCCTTCATTACAAAAAAAAAATTGTTTGTGTAAGTATCTGTGTGAACTCTGAACTGGAATATTAGTTTGATATTATGGTTTATATAACTGAAGGTTACTATTGTTGCACATTAAACAACTAGACTAGACGAGTAAAATTAATAAAAATCATTTTAAAAAAAATAAGCCATTTGAAACTCCAAAATTAATGTTGTTACACTCTTTATATAGGTTATATACCTTATATATGCAAAAATAAAAATTTATTTATATTTAAAAATATATAGCATCTTACATTTTTATTTTTATTTATTTTTGGTTTTAAAATATAAATACAAAATCCTAAAACATTAATAGAAGAACTTTTTTCACAAATTATAATTTTAATATTATAGTGTTAGATATAACTATATGTCTATATATATATAACAATATAAGCAGTAATTTAAATACTTATAATACTGCATAATTCATTTCAAACACCTAATATAATTGTATTCAAATTGTTTTTTTAATACATAAAAGGTATTTAAAAAGGTGCTTTGTTTTTGCAAATTTATGTATTTTAGTGCGTGAAAACACTATCCGGTTACAGCCACAACTGTAGTAATAAACCGTCCGGCTCGACCGCAACAGTCGCAGCGGTTATATTTTATAGGACAGTATGGTGATGGTCAGTCTAACACTAAAAACGATTCATTTCAATCAAACCGCGAACTACCAGATGATTTCCATTTTTACCGCTGTCGTAAGAGTTCTTTGCGAAAATGGACAATGTTAATATACAACAACATATCGCTATTAATTATAATAATATACTCGACACTCGTAGGTTCGTAGGTATACATAATGTAAGTATTACATCCGTCGTAATATTAGGTACGTACCTATATGTGATGTTATGAATTAATTTAAAAAAATAATTACAAATGTATGTTGTAAAATTTTTATTTTACCGATTGGCGTAACTTATGTATGACCATACGTTGTAAATAAAAAATAATATTATTATAAAACAGCCATTTGTTAATATGAATTCGACATAAACCGATTCCACGTATTACAGCGTGTGTTAAAGTACTAGCACATACAACGTGATTCTTTTAAATGGTATATCGCGAAAAGTACCCATATGTAAAAAAATAGGATACAAATATTCAAAATTTATAGATTTTCATTTTGAACGTAATATTATATTATAAATTCTCTTCGAGAAAATGCTTGTACTGCTTGTAAAGAATTTTATACTTTCCCGCATAATGAACGTTAATTGTTCAAATAATCGCCAGTTACCCGACATTAACTATATGTAAATGATTTTAATGTAAGCTCAAGTGATGATTGTATACATTAAAGCGTGTTGCTCTGAGTTCGACTCGAGCACTGCAACCGCATTCATAGAAGTCGTAGAACCTAAAATAATAATAATAATATAATACAAGTCACGCTACTGATTTAATGTGGTATAATATGACTAACACACGTAATTATTGGTAATTATTGTTACATTCAATGCACGCAGAATAATGKTTACTACTAGGAAAAAATATATTATGATAATTTTCAGTTTTGAACTGTTAGATTTTATACCTAATAATAATATAATGTTATTTTGATCGTTTCAATTATGTAAATAATAATATGAACATACTTCCCTCCTTACTGTCCGCCATAATGTTATGAGCAATACATATCATCAGTTGAGGCAGTGATTCAGCAATGCCCTGACCACACTTTCATCTTTGCTGGTGACTTCAATCTGGGAGTTTACTAATTGCCCTCTGTCTTTTTTGGGTCGATAGACCAATAATTGTGCTCAGTTGTTTTCAGGGTTTATAATATTATTCTACGTTACACCTAGTATATGAAAATATGTATTATATAAATACATTTTTTCAGTCAATACAAAAAAATTACACAATGAACATTGTGTACCCTGCAACCTTACCTTCTGCAACCTAACCTACATTGTATTTGTACAATATAAATCTATACCAAATCATACACATAGATACACGTCAAAAATAAATAATTAGTATACAATATACATAAAAATATAATATGCCTGTATAGTACCTATTAGACAGTGTGTGGAACGTACAAATTAGGCAGATAAATAGGTGGTTATAACCATCATTATTCATTAATGATAAAGAAAACTTGTTATACGAGTAATCTATCTATCAAATTCATACTTTATAAATATGTTCGTTAATAATAGTAAATAAAATATTTTATATCTCGCCCTACGTCGAGTCGGGATAGGTATTATTATCAGCTTGTAGCTTATTTTCCCTTAATTTCGTTTACGTTTTGCTTTAAATTAAGTATATTTGAATGTATAATAGTTGGCTATATATTTAATTGTGTATATACATATGTAACTTTTTCTGCCGTGTAGTAACTTACGTAATATGTCCATGTAAAAATAAGGAACCTAAAATATAAGTACCTAGCGCGATTGGTGTACACTGACCTAAAATTTAAGCGGCGCAATCGTTATACTGACCTACTGGTCCATGCTCTTCAATCCACCCTATACTCCTACTTGGTTTAATGACAGTATAGTGGCCTTTTGTACTCATCCACATCTAACCTGCGTGTAAGGTACCCTGAATCCGTTGCCTACTTTGGATTTTCTCAAAAAAAATAGTTTATTAAACAACGCTATTGTTGAAAATAGTATCGTAATTTTATTGAAAGAACCGAATACTCTCTAGTCAGTAGACCCGAAAAGTTCTTGGATTTCGTTGGTGAAAATCGTTATGCCTGCAGTGCAATTCCGAAAGTACTCCACTTAAACAACCATTCCAGATACAAACTAGCAAGAAACTGTTGATTTGTTTGCTCTTCATTTTAGCTCGGTTTACTCCTCAACTCACCTTGACACTGACTTAGAGTCACTTAATATTTCTTTTTTTGATTTTCCCAACACTGCTGATTTTTCTGCCGAACACATGCTGCTTAAACTAACCGCCCTGTGAGGTTTAAGGATGTACCTACCTATTATAGAGGTAGGTACTATAATATATATATAGTTAGTTATCGAGATCAATTCGCACTCCGTAGAAAATCTAAGTAGGTTTAAATGTATAATGTCAACAATTATAGATACACATTCATGGCTTTAAATTCGGGGATTTCAGAACGCCATACCCGCATGTGTTGTGTCTATAGGGGCGCAGAATGAAATTGAAACTGGCAGTTGAAATATGAAATAATTCGATTTACCCACCCCTTCAAACGACCGAGAAACTGCAGTCTTAACTAATTATGTGTACCTACGTAATTAAATCACGTTTCTGAGTTTAATAAAATTATAGCATCAAGATTAGGAAGTATAGGTACTCTATTATTTTGCCCACCCACCCAATTCCGAAGGCAGTTTAATTGGACTATTATTACCTGACTATGTTACCTGAGTCCTGAAGTACCTACGTGTTCGGCGGCACTGGACTTACCTTCGTATTATACAATTACGTAACACTGTCGGTCAGGTTATAAGTTCCGGCAAAATGAAAAAGATTCGATTTCCGCTTCCRCCAAATCTATTTCTACTTATATTATTGAAATGGAGTTTGAGAACCCCTATTGTCTATTTGCAGTGTAATCGATCATCGTCTCATCGATGTACCTATATGTCGAAATCCGTGACAAAAAATGTAACAGTTGATATCGAAATTAGTATTCACTATTCATAATGCTAAAACAATGGCCTTCAACTAATCTTGTTTCAATTTAACTCAAGCGTGTGGAATCGTAAAATTTAAGAGTTGAGAATTAGAACAGAATATTGAAAAAAMCGGGTGGCTAAGGCGRAATAAATTTCGATTAACATTTTTAGATCTTCAAGAAGTCTTAGAATCATTCATTGAAGATTTTATGTCTATAATGCCTGCAGAATAAGGGTTTACATAATTACATATTGTAAATATGCTGAATGCTGATATTTAGTTGACAATTATAACTACGAAAATACTGAAAATAGTATACTTCCCCCAACGCCAACGATATTGTCCAATTTCAGTTGAAGTATTATATCCAGAACAACAAAAAATCATTGTGAATCATTTCACGAACATTTTAATGAGCAATTTTATAATTCATCACATCCAYAC